GAGAAGGAAGGAGGAGGAACGCGGGGCGCCGTCTCTTCAAAACGAGGACCCAACACTTGGGAATTGAGACATCGCATTAAATCGCCACTGCAGCCCTGGACCCCACCTTTCTGCGCCATGCCTCGAGCCGGGTCGATCTGTGAGGGCCCCGGGGCCCGAAATGGGGCGCACAGGCCCGTCGTGCGAAAGTTGCAGAGCCAGGGCCTCAGGGTCGCCGCCGCCGCCAGCATCGTCAAGGCCGTCCGCAGCGGCACGACGGTCGGAATGCGACCGGACGGGCAGCGGCGACGCGCTGCGGACCTGCGGAGCCGAGCCCGGCCGAGGGGCCGGCGGGCCGCTCGCAGCCGAGAAGGGCCCGGGCCGTCGCCGCAGCAACGGCACAGCAATCCCAGAAGTCCGACGGGAGGATGAAGGCGGGCCGGTCCCTCCACAGGGGGAAGGCTGAAAGATAGTCAGAAAATTGTCCAGGGACTACCATTTTGGGCAATCTTTGAGGTATGTTTGTTGGATTGTCATTTTTCGTCCAAAATCCCCCTGTAGGAGGACAGGCCCGACCCAACGGTAGGATCTTGCCACTCGGCGGCTCCAGAGGTCCCGACCCCTTCCCTGGGGGGCCGCTCTTTTCTGCGGATTCGCCTCTGATGGCCCCAGCAGGGCCCGATTGGCGGGGGCCGCGATCGAGGGACGTCGCCCGGATCGGCAGAGTCATGCTGCTGGCACGATGGTTAAGGACAGCCCTACACAGCTTTGGAGGGCTACGGCTGCCCTTCTTCATGAGGGAAAGAATCACACAGACACAATTAATCGTCGATTCCCCAGAAAATATAGGAAAATATGGGAAGTGGGGGGAAGACCAAAACCCAGAAAATATAGGAAAATATGGGGAATCCTGTTATTTGTGTATATTTATTTGTGTGTCCCAGGGCCCCTTCATCCTCAGCCCTGTCCTTCGCTCCCGTGGCCTGCACGAGGCCTCGGGCCTGCGGAGTGGCAGCCTCAGCAATGAACTATGCTCTTGTCCCGCGCCCTTGTGGCCGTGCCTCGACCGCACCGTCGAGGACCGGCAAAGAAAAAGAAAACAAAAAAAAAGTGGGGACAATAGGTCCGGAGGAAAGCGGGCCCTGGACCCCAGGGGGCCTGCACCCCGGACGAGCTTCCCGTCCGAGAACAGAAAATGTGGACACTGGGGGGGAAGACGAACACCCAGGAAACAACCAGGGAACTCTGGAGAATCCTGGGCTTTGTGGGAATCTGTGTGTGCGTCCCAGGGCCCCTGTATCAGGACCACGGCGGCGAAGAGTTGGCAACGGCACAGCACCCGACCGGCTCGACCTGCACGGGGCGCGGTCCCCTGCCGCCGCCAGGGGCAGCGAGTCATAGGGGGGGGGGATGGCCGGGGGCGGCCAAGAGGGGGGTGAGAACTGCACACTGTTCGCTCCTAATTCTTCGGGAGGTCCTTGATTCTTTGGGGGGGGCCCAGGATCCTTTCACTTCTGATTGTTCTATCCTGGGCCTCTTCCTGGCCACCAGGGGGCCAGGAACAATAAGAAACGAGCACAATTATGGGGGGTGGGAACGCATCGACCCCCGATCGCCCATGGATCGCCGATGGGGGCCCGGTGGCCCCAATCCGCCCAGGAGCGCGCGGACTCACCGTTGGGCGCCGCACCGTCAATCTGTCGGCGGTGTATCGACCATTCCAGGTCGATGTCCCTCCTCGTCCTCCTCGTTACTTCCTCCTCCTCCTCCTCCTCGTCCTCGTCCTCCTCCTCCTCCTCCTCCTCCTCCTCCTCCTCATCATCATCATCATCCTCATCCTCCTCCTCCTCCTCCTCCTCTTCCTCCTCCTCCTCGTCCTCGTCCTCCTCCTCCTCCTCCTCTTCCTCCTCCTCCTCCTCCTCCTCGTCCTCGTCCTCCTCCTCCTCCTCCTCCTCCTCCTCCTCCTCCTCCTCCTCCTCCTCCTCCTCCTCCCCCTCCCCCTGCAGTTGCCTCTCGCGCCGTCGCCGACCGCCGCCGCCGTCGACGGCGCGGGCCTCGTCGGCGCCGCGCCGCTTCGGGCGGGGGGGGCCCGCCTTCGCGGCCCCCTCGCGGGGGGGGGGTCTCCTCCCCCCGCGGGCCGTCGTGGGCCTGGGGCCCCTCGCGCTGTGAAAAAACTGCGACGGGAGGTTTTTCGCTGTTTTCGGCCTCCAGGGGCCCTCGCCGGGCCTCAGGACCGTCCGATAATGACTCATGATGAGGAGCCGGTCCCTGTGAAGGGGTCCCGGCTCTTTTGGGCTTCGCCACGAAAAAGTCACAACGTCGGGGGTCTGGGGGGGGGTCGGAGGGCCGCCGCGATTCCCTGGGAGTCTTCTGTTTGTCCCTGGGGCGCGGGCCGTCGTTGTCTTGCGCGCGCTCGCCCGCGACGGAGATTCGGCTGGAAATTCGGTTTGGGGAACATCAATTTCTGTAGTCGATCCCCTACTCGAACTTTGGGGTAACTGGTAACCCAAGGTTTGTATATATTTGTTTGTGTATCCCCGGGTGGGTATGTCTTAGATGTATACATGTGCGTACAACTATGTGCGTACAGCACACACGTTTTCATACATGTATGTACACATGTATGTACCATCCCATCAACTGACTTTTTTCTTCTGTGGTGTAGTGTGTTTGTGTGTGCGCGTGTGTGTGTGTCTGTGTGTGTGCGTCGCGGCGCCCTCTTGCCTGCCCGCCTTCCGCCTCTCGCACCTTGCCGCGCCTCGTAGGCCCGCAGGTCTCGGCGCTATGGCTCATTCCTGGGACCGCGCCTACCGACTCACTGGGTCGAGTCTCTGATCTGTTTGTGTTGTTCCCCCACTGGCTGCCCAGTCTGCGGGCTGCTTTCCCCCCCAGCTTCAGCTCAGCGCAGCTCAGTGCAGCTCAGTGCCGGCGCCGGTTCCCCCCCCTCGGCGCGTCCCCTGCCGCAGTCGGCGACTCTGAGTGGGCCCGGCTTCCTCTCCCCCTGTCGCGCTGGGGCTCCTTTCCCCCCTCCGTGCATTGCGGCCTCAATTTGCATACAGCGTGCCCCCTGTTGCCAATCCGCCGGGGCAGTCGCCCTCTGCCCAGCCGCCGACGCAACAAAAACGTTTCGACGGCGCGCGCGCGCTGGCTTGCTCCGTCCCCTGCAGCGCGCGGCCTGCGCGGGCGCGCCCGGGCACCCCCGCGGCCGAGGTTCGCCGCAGCGGGGGCAGCTGCACGGCGCCGCTGCGGGGCGGGTGTGGTTGCTCGGTGGCGAGCGAGGGGCGGAAGTGACCCAGACCCCCTCTGGCAATGAAAAAATCAGGACGAAATGTTTTTTTGCGATTTTCGGCCCCTGGGGGCCCTTACCGGCCCTCGGGGCTGTCAAAAAACGACCCAGGATGAAACGCCAGTCCAGGGGAAAGGGTCGCGACCTCCAGGGGTCGACGTAATGAACAAATCATGACGTCGGGGGTCTGGGGAGAAAGGGCGGGCTTCATCAGGAGGCTCGGACGTCCCTTGGGCCGTCTGAGAAGTTGTCTGAGCCTTTCCCGAAGACGCAGAAACCTGTTCAGAAGGCGCGGGGGCTTATGAGAAGTCCCGCCGCCTTCTGAGAAGGCCTTCTCCTTCCCATTCCCCCCCCTCGCCCGCGGCCAAGCTGCGGTCAGCAGAGGACCCCGACCTCAAGCCATGACAAAAATCCACGGCGCGAGGCTTTTCTTTGTTTTCGGCCTCTGGGGGCCCTCGCCGGGCCTCGGAACCGTACAAAAACGACTCAGGACGAAAATCTGGTTCTGGGCAATGGGTCCAGACCTCTGGGGTCGACGTTATTGAGAGATCGTGACGTCGGGTGTCGTTACAGTTTTTGTTGGCACGCCCAGGGGGTAAGCCACGCGCTGAGGGGGCTATGGAGGGAGGGGGAAGGCTTCTTAGAAGCACCCCTGCTTGTTGGAAGGCGCGGGCCTTGTCTATAGATGTCGGGCTGGCGCCTCGTAAGAAGCAGCCGCCTTCAAAGAAGCCTTTCCCTTCCCCCTGCACCCGTGTGCGCGCCGCCAACGGTTGCGGTTAGCAGAGGAGGGCGAGCTCAAGTATCGTTTAGCCTCAAGGATGGGTGGCTTTCCAAGCTTACCCTTGCATCCTTCACCTTCTGCCCATCCTTGGCCACTTTCGCTGGCCGTGCCCCGCTCGAGAAGTGTCGGCATAATTAGCCTTCGAAGGCCCTTCATCTTCGCCGTGCATCCTCATTATACGCGTCGATTGCATCCCCCTTCCCCGCAGGGCCACGGTAATCATCTCAGCCATACCATCCCACCAGCCCAGCTCCATCCCCGCCAGGCCACGGTATCTCAGCCCCACCATCCCACCACCCCAGTCAGGGACGTGCCCCGCGCGACCCAAAGGGAGCAGCCCACATACTCCAGATTTCATAATAAAAGGGAGGGGAGAGCATGCTACGCATGGAATGAATTGAGTAGATGATGAGGTGTTGGATCCGTGAGTGGATCAGCCTAGACAGTATGATGGTCAGAGGCTTTGATGCCTCCATTGATTGTGGGTCGGCTATGATGCCAACCAATGCCCACCCCGTCCCGTCTCCAGGGACTTCGCATCCCCCTTTGATGGCAGGATGGGGAGACGGTCCGCCACCCCCGGCACTGCACGTACTGTGCCGGGTTCGTGGGGATTTTGTTGAATTCTATGAGTGTCCCCTCCCTCCCCTCCCCGCCCCTCTACCTCCGCGCCTGGTCCTGTGAGTGGGAAGCCAAGTAACGTATACACCGTTTTGACTCCGAGTCCCGGTGACGATCACAACCTGCAGAGCCCAGGTAAGGTCTGCAGGCGGGAGGTCTGGACCAAAGGGTTACCAACAGGACGTCTGAAGTGGGAGGTCTGGACCAAAACGTTACCGGTCAGAGCTAGCCCAAGGGTGAAAGGCAGGAGTGACGAGGGGGTAGGGCCTTTTCTGGCCGCGAGCCTCTACCAACCCAGTAAGTATATGTTGGGGCCTACCAACCTCACATGCATCACAGCTGAGGTGGCCAGTGGCGCGTGCCTTCACGAGCCCAGCTGTCAAACACTGATACAGGGTAGCCCGAAACCCCCGTCAAGTGGTCCCGGAACGCGCGCAAGGCCTCGGAGCGCAAGTTGTCCGGAAAAGTGTACTGGGCCACGCGCGCCACGATGCCTAGGATGATACCCCGCTTCGTGCTGTCAGGGATGAAGCTGTAGTAAGGCGAGAAACCTTCAAACTCAAAGGCGCCGCCCCTGCCCCCAAGATGTCCAATCGAAGGGCATGCCGCCACGCTGCCGTCCACGTTAAGCTTAAGGTCAACACCTACGAACTTGAGGCTATCATCTCGTTCGAGCGGAAGGGGGTACCGCTCTCTTGCCCGTTGTGCCAGGCTGCTGGCAATAAGCCCGATGTCCCAAGCCTTCAAGTGGGAAGGGCCTTTCCAAAGAAGGAGGTAATCGTCCATGTACCGCACCTCGAGAAGCCACACCACGTGGCCCAAGATCACGGTCTCATATACGCGGCCCCTGCATCCCAAGGGGGAGAGTTCAGGACCATGCAAGGAGTAGTAGAAGGTAAGGTCGCAGAAAATTAGCGCCATCCGGGTAAGCGCTGAGCCCATGGGGCTCCCCATCGCCAGGCCCTCCACCTCCATCCCCACCAGCTCCCCCAGCATGAAAAAACCGGTGCAAAGGTGATGCCGTAAAAGCACATCAGTGTCATCAATAGTGATGGTCATGCACTGGCCGTGAACTCGGGATGGAGGCGCCCCTGCTGATGATACTGCGCGCCTGCCGCGGCGCGCCACGCGGATAGCCTGGATCGACCCTTGCAGGGTAGATCGGTAGAAAGACCAAGCCCGAACGATGAGCTCGTGGGGCATGTTCGTGAAACAACTGACGACGTCGGAGCCGCATGCTCGGACCGGGGTCGATGGTCCGATCTCGGTAAACTCGCGGAGGAGCTCGATGACGGAGTCGGCCCTGTGGATGTCAATGTGGGCATGCTGTGGGAGGTAGCAGGCCCCGACCCAGTCCAGCGCCCGAGCCGTTGGCGTGTCGAGGCATGCCGCAGGCCACGCCGAACGGTTGACGATGGGTCGGCGGTCGTCTGGCTTCGCCCTTTTCTTGTTGGGGGCGCTTGCCCGGGCCATCTTCCAAGCCGATGGCCTGCTGATGCGCCTGGGCTGCAGTTCCGGCGAGAGCCCAGGAACGTCGGCTGCACGTAGCAGAACGGCCTCCGCAGTGAGGTCGGGGAAGTACCGGTAGTGCGGGTCCGTCCCGTCAGCCCCAAAAAGTTTATGGCTATAGTAGCTGAACTCGCCGCGGGCACTCGGCGACCATTACCCGTCGCGTTTTCTGGAAGGTCTCAATGACGAGGCCCCTCAGGGAGCGCCGCATCTCGGCCACCTCCGCGTGCGTGATCGGTACAAAATCGAGGCTAGAGGGTGCAAGACCTGCCGCCCCGCAGTAGGTATCCGTCGCCCGCGCCGCCATCTGCTCCAGCGGCCCAGCGTCCATCCCCATCCCAATGGTCGCAGCCAGGCGTTTGGTGAGCTGGGTGAAACTCTTAAGCAAAATGCTGCGCTCAGGAACGATCGCAACGTGAGCAGGGGCCGTCCGTAGACGGGACTGGTCGTTATGCCACGGCCATGTCTCCTGCGGGGCAAAGATGTGGAACTGGCCGTCCAGCGACTCGACCCGGGGAAGCGCCGGGAAGGCATCGCATAGGCACTCCCATGGTGCCGTCTCGTGAAGCCGTGCGTAGAAGCGCGGCGCATTGCGAAGTGTCCTGCCAAGTGTGGTGGCCGGACGTGGTGCCACGCCGATGCGAAGGTGGCGCAGCGCTGGCAGTAGCAGGCCGTAGCCGCGCGAACGGCAGTGGACAACCAAGTCTGATAGTAGTGAGCGTGCCGCTCGCCGGGCGTTACTGCGTGGAAGCCATGGCAAGGATACGTGAACCGACGCGCGGGGTCTTGGCCAGCCCCGGAAGCGCCGAACGCGGTCCAGGAAGATAAGCCCCATGCGACGCGGTGGCCCCTCCGCCACTCGGTGGACTCTGCTCCAGATGGTGTAAAACTCCGCCGGCGAGACCTTGAAGATATGCCGGCGGCACTGGCCATGCGTAGGTGAGCCGAGCGTGTTGCAGGCGCCGGCTGCCCACCAGCGGACCACATCAGCGCCCTTCTGCGCGCCGCTCCCTTCTCGTAGCGATTGGGGAGTGTCCTGAGCGAACTTGCGGTGCTGAGTTAGCCGCGCCGGAGGTGTGGGAGGGCAGTAGGTGTAGTATTGGCGGGGCCGCCGCCCGCGTGGCCCCTGACTGTCCAGGAGTCGCTGTACGTATGGCTCATTCAGTGGAGGGTGCATCGTGTCTATGACGTGCCTTTCCAATACCAAGAGCTCTGCGTCGTCCTGGGCGCGACCGATGGGCGTGAAGATTAGCGATGAAGAAGCCTTTGGGAGGTCGCCCCCAAAGAGAGCTGAGAGAAAGAGCATGTACGGTTGTGGCTTGTAGTTGCCTGGATAGAGTAGTCCTTGTAGGTGTCGGCGCACGCGGGCTTGGAAGTCGACCGTCTTGCCAACGTAGTAATGCTTATGCCAGGGACTCCATATTATGTTCACGACAAATTCAGCATGCAGGAGGTCCGGCGACGGTGGCCATGTAGAGGATGGGAGTGAGGATGCAAGTGTGCGGAGCTTGCTGTAGAAGGCGGTGGTGGAGGACATCAGGAAGGGTGCGGTGAGAGCAATGCCCATGCGAATGAGTGCAAACATGCATGGCCATACGAAGACATTCTCGGCGTACACGCTGTGGAGGGCATGGCGGACCAATGCCAGAGAGGTGATGTTGCAACATCGGATCTCAGGGGTTCTGGAAATGCATGGCATCCCGTCGTCGTGAAGATCCCAAACACCACCGCTTGCGCGGTGCGCTCCTGCGCGTGTACGGGAAGATAGTCAAATCTCTGTCGAGCGCGTCTTGGCCATGATGGCCGCCAGGAGCTGCGACAAGTCCCCAAATCGCTTCTCGTCGAAGCGAACGCCGAGCTCGGACGCCTTGTCCTTGAAGACCGCGAGGACCTTCGGGTCTGGCTTCTTCGACCGGCCCTTGGGCGCCACGATTGCATCGAGCGCCTTGCGGTAGACTGCGAAGCGTTGCCGATCCGACGCTGGGGAGTCCTCCGTCGGCACGGCCTCGTCCATGGCCCAGTCGATAGTCTTCGTGTTCCTGGCCTGGTGCATGCGGTCAGGCTTGAACTTTTTGATGTCGTCGAGCGTGTACTGGGTGACCGTCTTCTGGGATGCCCGATCGCCTCCGTAGCCTCGACATGCGCCTGGCCCTGGTCCGCAAGAAGGGCGGCGACCGTGTGGGTCATGTTGGACAGGCACTCGCCTGACGTGGACTGCTCGGCTCGTTTGCACGGGCTCTGGGTCGTGATCCAAGCTAGGAAGACCGAGAAGGAGAAGGTGTCCGAATCGAGGGGCACGAACGGCACAATCTTTTGCAGGTTGCGCCTGGCTTGCGCCCGCATGATGTAGGGGCAATACTCTTCGGCGTTCTGGGAGATCTCCCTCCGGGTCCTTGGCGGCGCACAAGGAGATGCACCTGCGCATCATCTCGGCGTTGCATTTCTTGCGCTCGTTGATGAAGTCCTCCGTGTCGAACGGGATGTCGGGCTTGTAGTCGGAGGGGAGGGCGTAAGCCGTCTCCAGAAGCTTAGATGCAACGGCGCCCCCCGAGAAGAGTAGCTCGCGGACCTCAATGTCGGACAGCTTTTGGATGGCACTCTTGGCGGCCTGCACCCCGCTCTCCGGCGCACCGACGTGGTTGGGTGGGTAAGCCTGGCCTTGCCCGTGGTCCCTGGTGGCTGGGAGGTCGCGGGGGCCACGGGGGTCCTGTTCCCGGCGCGAAGCCCGATCGAAGTACTGGGCACCGTGGTGAGGATCATACTGCCTGGCGGGATAGGCCAGCGGCAGGTGGGGCGACCGCGCCGCCGGCGATGCCTTCGGTGTCAGCCCGTGCGCCATCCTGGGGGCAGCCCCGATCGGCGAGGCAGGCGGTGGCTTCCTTGGGAGTCCGGGGCTTTGCGCAGGGCAGTCCCTGGCGAGGTGTCCGCGGATGCCACAGTTAGGGCAGAGCAGGCGGTCTGGTGAGAGGGGCCGGGTGGGGGCCTCATGGTGGCCGCCCGTGGTCCGCGGCATGAGCCTGTGATGGTCACGTGCCCTGGACCTGGACCTAGACCTATGATGGTCGCGGCCCATCCCCGCCGCGGGCCTGTGATGGTCCCGTGCGATGGGTTTGGACCTAGACCTATGATGGTCACGGCCCGACCTTGCCCTATGATGGGAAGGTTGGTCGCGGTAGAGGTCGTCACGGTAGCCCTTGGGGTCGAAGTCGCCCTTCGCCTGACGCTGCCCATGTCCACGGTCCGCCATGCTGCAAGCGAGTCTCCTGCGGCGCCGCTTGGGGGGGTCTTGTGAGCGAGGTAAGTCGGAAACCTGTACCCTTGGGCAGAAGAGGCGGCGGAGAGGGGAAGCGGGAGGGGAGGGGGAAGGAAGGGCGACAGAGGGGAGAAACAGAACAGGAGGTGGAGAGAACGAAGAACGAGCCAGGAGGCAGGAGCAACGAGGCCCTCCCATTCCCTTTGAATTCAATGAGTTCTATGAATTCTATGACAGGCACTGGACGGCCGGCAGGGGACTGAGTCCCGTTCACGGCCCAATCAGGGAGAGCATGCTACGCATGGAATAAATTGAGTAGATGATGAGGTGTTGGATCCGTGAGTGGATCAGCCTAGACAGTATGATGGTCAGAGGCTTTGATGCCTCCATTAATTGTGGGTCGGCTATGATGCCAACCAATGCCCACCCCGTCCCGTCTCCAGGGACTTCGCATCCCCCTTTGATGGCAGGATGGGGAGACGGTCCGCCACCCCCGGCAGTGCACGTACTGTGCTGGGTTCGTGGGGATTTGGTTGAATTCTATGAGTGTCCCCTCCCTCCCCTCCCCGCCCCTCTACCTCCGCGCCTGGTCCTGTGAGTGGGAAGCCAAGTAACGTATACACCGTTTTGACTCCGAGCCCCGGTGACGATCACAACCTGCAGAGCCCAGGTAAGGTCTGCAGGCGGGAGGTCTGGACCAAAGGGTTACCAACAGGACGTCTGAAGTGGGAGGTCTGGACCAAAACGTTACCGGTCAGAGCTAGCCCAAGGGTGAAAGGCAGGAGTGACGAGGGGGTAGGGCCTTTTCTGGCCGCGAGCCTCTACCAACCCAGTAAGTATATGTTGGGGCCTACCCACCTCACATGCATCACAGCTGAGGTGGCCAGTGGCGCGTGCCTTCACGAGCCCAGCTGTCAAACGCTGATACAGGGTAGCCCGAAACCCCCGTCAAGTGGTCCTGGAACGCGCGCAAGGCCTCGGAGCGCAAGTTGTCCAGAAAAGTGTACTGGGCCACGCGCGCCACGATGCCTAGGATGATACCCCGCTTCGTGCTGTCAGGGATGAAGCTGCAGTAGGGCGAGAAACCTTCAAACTCAAAGGCGCCGCCCCTGCCCCCAAGATGTCAAGCCATTTCACACCTCCCCCTTGGGAAAACCCTCCAAAAAATCGTCCCCAGACCCCCCAGGCCCTCCAAGATAGCCTGGAAGAGACCCCCCCCCCGAAATGAGACCCCCCTCCCTTTCTTACGAAATATGGAGAGCCCCCTTCCAGGGGGGCAGATCGAGCAGTGGGGCCCGGCCCACGCCGGCGGGGACGGGGATCGGTGAATCGATGATCGGAGCTGGGGCAGGTGCAGCTGGCCTTCGGAAGGCGTTCGAGGCCCGAGGTTCTCGGGCGACTTCGGCGGTATTCTCGGCGGTCTTCCAACCTCGGTGTGCTTTTTCCGGCTGCGGCGCCTCGCCGAGGGAGCTCCTGGGAGTGCCCGCTGCGGTCAGCAGACTGCGTTCTGTGGCAGTTCGTGGGCGCCTCCCGTGTCATCTTGATGGCTCTTGCGGATCCACGGTGTGGCCGACCCCAGTCGACGCTACACCGGCGCGAATCGAAGCTAAATCAGTGCTGTCTTCATTCGACCAGGGGTCAGCAGAGGATTCGTCAGCAGAGGATTCGGTGGCAAGTCATGCGAGCCTAGTATATGCTCGGACTTCCGCCAGGAGAGTGCGTGCTCTAGCTTGGAATCGATGAGGAAGCGCTGATTCAGCGTCGACTAGCGTCGAAGTAGCGTCGATGATCGTCGGTTAGCCTTGTCATCTTGCTGGCTTGTTTGCTTGCTGGCTCTTGCGAATCGACGCTGAACAACGCTAATCGACGCTAGTCAACCCAAAGTCGACGCTCATCGACGCTAAATCGTCGCTTTCTCATCGACGACCAGACGCTAGCGCAATGCAATCTAAAGACAGTTCCGAGGACATTCAAGCTGGGTAGTCGAAGGTCAGCCGGTCAGGTTGGATTGAGGCGCCGGGGCCAATCCGGCATCAGTCTCCTGTGAATTCCAATCCGGCGCCAGTCCGGCGCAGCCCAGTCTGATGCTGACCTTCTCAATCTGGTTTTCTTGCCCGCCATCTTCTTTCGTGTGTATGGTTTGCGGCCGTCTGGCTGAATGTTTTCATATGATTCCGTCAGGGCGAGCCAGACTGCATCACTTCGCCGATTGCCAGATTGGTTGCGTCGCCAGATTGGCCAGATTGTAGCGGGCGCCAGGTTGCACCATATTGGGATCGTGGCCAGACTGGCCTTGCTGGACAGCCGCCAGATTGAATAATTTCCTAGATTGCCAGATTCGCAGCGATGCCAGATGGAATCCCCTACCATCTTATGGCTTGCGTACTTTTTTGGAGAGAGCACTGCTCCGCGAGTGCTCCTCCTTCTCCTCCCCCTTTCTTATCCCCCCTGCGTTTGCCTGCCCTCTGCGTCCCTCTTGCGGGTTCTGAGAGTCTTCTGGGGGGGCTCTGTGAGGCATCTGAAAGGCCTATGAGAGGCTCATGAGAGGCCTATGGGTGGCTTCTGAGTGGCTTCTGAGCGGCCTCTGAGGGACGGCAGCTCCTCCTCCTCCTCCTCCTCCTCCTCCTCCTCCTCCAGGCGGGCATTGCTCCCATTCTTTACCCTTCCGCCTCCTCTCTCATCCCTCTCATTGCCTAGCGTCTCCAAAAATGGTTCCAGGTCGGGGAGGACGTCTGTCGGGCGGTGGGCTGGGACGGGGTGGTGGGTCTTCTGATGCGTTCCCCCCCGTCCTGGAGAATGGCGGCCATCAAGACGTGGACGGGGGGGTGGGTCACGGACACCCGCATGCGCAACCCCGACCTGTCCTGTCTGATGGGATGCGCGTGCCCAGACTCCCTCGCCCACTACGTGCGATGCCCTGGATTCCTTTTCCTCGTTCGCTCCGCGTCTGGGTCCGAGGTGGACCCGTCCCTTCCCCGTCGGCTGGCCATCCTGGATCCCTCTCTCCTGCGGCTCCGACAACTCGTTATTCTCTTTCACCTCCACCTCCTCCTGCACCAGGCGAGTAGGCGCAGGGCCATATCGTTTCCTTCCGCCGACCACCCCTTGATTTTTCCAAAGCGCCTCAGCTTGCGACGGACACCCCCATGGGCGGGTGGCGATCGATTGCCAGAGGTTTGAATGCTCGACAGGCGTAGGCGAGGCTGACGAGCTCATTCCGACGCTGGGCCTCCTCCTCCTCCTCTTCCTCCTCCTCCTCTCCCCCGTAGCCATTTTGGCTCAAGATGGCGACCTGGGGGGCTGTCCAGCCTCCAGGCCGAAGGGGGACCTCTGGACCGAGGACAGTTCCCAGACGGGCGTCGGGCGCGCGCGCGGCACTGCTGCAGCCATGGGGAGTGGCGGCGGCGGACGCGGGGCGGGCAGCGCCTGGTCGGGGACCCCGAATCGCCAGAGGGTGCCACCGTGGAAGAGGAGCAGCAGTGGCAGTCGCCCTCCTCGCAGCAGCTACGTGGTGTGTGACGGGCGCAGCAGATGGCGCTACTGCAAGAATATCACCAGCAGGGGCGACCTCTGCATCTGCGGCAAGAATCTCGCCTGCCTCGTCCCCGACGGACATGTTTTCCGTGACGAGGATGGCGGGTGTCTGGCAGCACAGCCCCAAGGAGGAACCTCGCCCAGGATCAGCTGGGCAGATGGTTGGCAGCCAGGAGGTGGTGCAGGTGGGAAAGGGCAAGGAGGCCAACGCCAGCCACCACCTCACGACAAGACCGTCGATCTCAAGGCCGCCGCCGCAGCAGTATACAGCAAGCTCAGCAAGGACGACCCGCTCAGGCAGCACTACGAGGCCCTCTGGCCAGAGCTCGCCGCAGCCAAGCCACCAGCAGAACAACCAGTTGCTGGATTTAAGGCAGTGGAGGCAGCAGCTCGACGCTTGGACAAACTCCAGAAGAAGGTACGATCGGCAGGGGAGCAAGTGGGGAGTGCCCAGCAGTACTTGGCTGAGAGTGAACGCAAGCTTCGTGAAGCTATGGAAGCCTCCATTGCAGCTGAAGATGAGTTCGACAAGCTCAAGGCCACAGTCGGCAAGCAAGAGGCCCCAGCTGAACCTGCAGCCGAGAGGCCAACTCTGGCAGCCCTCCTGGAGCAGTTCGAGCATGAGCCTGGCGACTTCCACAAGTGGTCAGAGCCCGACAAGGAGGTCTGGCGAGCAGCAAAGGCCAAGGGCGAGCGTATGGCCCAGACGGTCAAGGAGCACGAGGAGGAGACGGCGAAGCACCTGCGACTTCTGGAGGAAGAGACGGCCAGGCACCAGGAGCAGCTGCGCCAGCTCGAGCAGGCCCGCACCGAGCGCCTGTCAAAGAGCGGAGAGCAAGACCCAGAAACAGCAGAAGCCCCACCAGGGAAGCGTGTCTGCGCCGCCAGCCCAGCCCCTCAGCGAGGTGCCACCACAGGCGCTGAGGCAGCAGGGTCAGCTGCCGCGGCTGCGCCTAACGGCGCCGCAGCAGCTGCCCAACCAGAAGCAGCTGCAGCAGAACATGACAAAGCAGAGGAACGCCGAGCCAGGGTGGAGGCCCATATCCAGGAGGCGCGAGAGAAGGTCTCGCAGGCCAGGCGCGCCGAGACAGTCGTCGATGCAGAAGGGCAAGGTGACCACTCAGCAGGGTAGCCGCCCCAAGGCGAGCGCGAAGAAGGCTCGCCGCCCTTACCACATCGACTTCTTCAACATCACGACCTGGGGCCCCCAGGCACAGGGCTACCTCATGGAGATCAACGACACCAAGGACAGGGACATCATTGGCATCGCGGAGCACCGCCTCCGCCAGCCAGCGCAGATAAGCAAGGCAAGAGCGGCGCTCAGGAGGAATGGCATGCACAGCTACTGGACCAAGGCACGGCCAGGAGGAGGAGAAGGCACTCGAGGAGGAACGCGTGCCATCACGCGGGGACCCTTGGACATCCAGGACAGGATCGCGGGTTTCGACGAGCACCACCTGCACGCGGACGGCAGCGACGTCACGGTGGTGATCTCCAACCTGCACAAGGTCCGCTTCGCAGTGGCCTTCGTCTACCTCGAGTGTGGGACGGGCTTTGGGGAGAGGAACGTTGACATCCTCTGCGACCTGCGGGAGAAGATGGCCGTCTGGGGAGGGCCATGGGCAGCGCTTGGGGACTTCAACATGACGCCGTCGGAGCTCAACAACAGCATCTGGCCCATGGTGCTGAATGCTCAAGTAGCTGCGGCGGAGGATGGCGCCCCCACGTGCTTCCCAGCAGGAGGCGAAGCCAGGTGCATCGACTTCGCGCTGATCTCGCAGGGCCTGGCGCCGTATTTTGACCAGCTAGAGCTGCTCAGGACCGCGCCGTGGAAGCCGCACATCGGCATCCGCTTGAAGCTGAAAGGGCGGCCTCTCAAGCTCAAGGGCAGGGTACTTCGCAGGCCAGCAGCAATAAAGCCACCAGTCGCAGTTGAGAGAATGCCGAAGTCCAGAGCCGCTTGCAGACGAGCGGCGCGAGGAGGCCAGGAGGCCATACGTCGACGTCAGCAAGCGCTGGCAGAGGCAGGATGCGACCTGGAAGAGAACGACATGGAGCCAGTGCCGCAGCTGTACTACGACAAGGAGATCCAGCACGTCATCCCTGACGAGCTGTGGCAGGCCACCTCCGAGCGGGTCAGCTTGCGTGCCTACGACGAGTTGCCCCAGCACTTGCAGCACACTGTCGTCGGCAAGATGATGGAGCGGGACATGCCGGACCTGGGGCAACAGTACGACCACTTCGCAAGCACCCTCGAGCTCAGCCTGTGCGAGAGCATCGGCATCCCAGAGGAAGAGCGAGGACGACATCCCGGGCACAGCAGGCCCCCGAGCTACAAGAGCGCGAGCATCAAGGACACAGTCACCTCTACGCCATGGGCAGGGGTCGAAAGGCAGATCCATGCGTGGTGGGCGGAGATCTCCTCCTTGGTGCGGCAGCTCTCGCACCATGATGCCCGAGCGCAGGAGGCAGCGGCAAGCCGACAGGGCAAGACCCATGCACTCCCCGATGAGGACTCGGGGGGAGGACAGGGCCCGTTGGAGTCGGAGCCTGGCCCCGTCATGTCTGGCAGCCAGGTAGGCCACGAAGACGGGGCCCCCGCATCAGCCATGAGCCCATCGAAGAGCTCGGGAGGAAGCTCGGTGGAACGCGCCCCCACCGAGCGGGGCAAGGGCCCCCCCGAGCTGCAGCAGCGGAGCGCAGGCAGTGGAGGCGCAGCAGGAGGCGGCGGCAGTAGCACCAACGACATCGCGAATCAGCCAGCGCTTGAGGAGGCCCCCCCCCCTCAGGCTGAGGTCCAGGCCAGCGCAGCGGACCATGGGAAGGCAGCTGGCCCCTGCTCTGAGATGGGTCAGGGGTTCCCGTCCCCCGAGTGCGCCGCCACGGGGCGCGTCCCAGACCTCCACGTGGGACCAACCCACAGCAGCGCAAACAGCTGCCCAGAAGGGATGCAGAGGGGTGCCCCTCCCCCACCAGCAGGACGCAACACCATGGACATCCAAGATCACGACCCCTTCGAGGATGAGGAGGACTACTTGGAGTACCGCCAGGAGATCGCAGACCAGGAAAGCAGCGATGGGTACCACCAGCACATCGAGGGGCAGCAGGCCAGCCTAGAGTTCAGCCAGACCGTTCGCCGTCGAGCAGCTGGACCTGCTTCTCACCCACCAGCAGGACGCAGCACCATGGACGTCCAAGACCACGACCCCTTCGAGGAGGAGGAGGACTGCCTGCAGTACCGCCAGGAGGCCGCACCAGGAGGACTGCGATGGGTACCACCAGCGCATCGAGGGGCAGCAGGACAGCATCGGCTGCGGCCAGACCGCTCGTCGTCATGCAGCTGGATCTGGTCAAACCGCCCCAGGTGACACGCACTGCCCACCTCCTCTGCCAGCTGGCACTCTGGAGGCAGAGGGTACCGATCACCTGGGGAGTCAGAACCAAGCGCCGCCAAGCCCAGAGGCAGATGAGCAAAGAGAAATGGGCCTGCCCCCATCAGACCCCTGGAATGATGACCAACACCAGCGAGAGCGAGAAGACTACGTGGCCATGAGAGACGACCTGGAGTACTGGGCGGCCATCTGGATGGATAACTTGGTGCAGTTCCCCACGGACAACAGCAACTGGATGCAGATCTGTGTGCCTTTCCTGGAGACCATCCTGGGAGGCGGAGGCAACAATGGCATGGTGAGACTGCTCAGGCGTAGGTACCAGCAGGCCGACCTCAGCCACATCATCAGGGACCTCTGCGAGCGAGCATGGAGACATGCAGAACCACGGCGCCGAGGCTTTCTCCAAGGACTTACGCGAGAGGAGCCGACGAGGAGGCATGAATTGGAAATGATGCATTGGGGGGAGCTCGCAAACCTGGGGAGGTTTATGCGAGAAGTTATAGGCGAACGAGCACCAGAAGGAGCAGCGCGAAGACAACTACATGATGCTCCAGGTACAGGCAGTGGCCGGAGTAGCCGCCGAGAGCAGCAGGTCTGCACCCACAGTGGCCGCCAGACGCAGCAGCAGATCAACACAAGACGGCAGCTTGCGCAGCAGCTCAACCAGCCTGACCCAGGCAGGCTGAACGAAGAAGGTGCAGCCAAGGACCAGCAGCAGGCCCTCCTCGCAGACCTGAAAGCGATAGCAGAGGGCGCCCTCGTGGACCCAGGGACGATCAGCAGGGTAGCAGAGGAGGTAAAGAGCATGGCCAAGCTACTCACAAAGGCGGTGAAGAAGGCGTACATCCACTGGGTGCACGACGCCACGGCAGGCAGTGCGAAGATGGCCCACGCCTACACCAAGGCAGCGGAGCGCAGCCATCTGGAGGACATCCTGGAGCACGAGGGCCAGGTCATCAACCACCCGCAGCAGCTGGTGGACTTGCGCAAAGAAGCATGGCAACGCAGGTGGACACGAGATGCGCAGAAGGCCGAGAGGATCCAAGAGGCGCTGGCCAAGCTGAGGCAGGCTGCCTTGGCCCAAGAGAATGCCCTCGAGCCCATCAGCAAGGACATCATAGGCTCCATCATCCAGCACCTGAAGCGCAATGCTGGCCAAGGAGCGGACTGGTGGAGGGCTCCAGAGCTCAAGGCCATGGGCGCCCAGGGGCTGGAAGATTTCGTGCAGTGCCTGACCAGCTGTGAGCAACGGGCAGCTTGGCCGTGGCAATTCTACCTGGTGCTGGAGCTGCTGCTGGGTAAGAAGCCAGGAATCGGTGGAGAGCGCCCCATCGGCCTCATGCCCATGCCGTACCGCATCTGGAGCGCAGCCAGGAGGCCCATCGTAGCCACCTGGAGCAAGGCAGCGGCGGGCTTCTGGGATACGGCAGTAGCTGGCTCCTCAGCGCTACGAGTGGCAATGCACAGACTGATGAGGGCAGAAGCCGCCACGGAGATGGGCTTTCATGCAGCAGGAGTGTTCTACGACGCGGCAAACTTCTACGACAACATAGGCCTCGACCAGCTGATCGAGAAGGCCAGTGCCCTCCAGTACCCGTTGCTGCCGCTGGCAATGGCCGTGCAGATGTACCTTGCGCCCAGGGCCATCATGGCCCACAGCCTCTTCTCGGACATCTTCGAGCCTGCCAACAGTATGGTAGCTGGCTGTGGCCAAGCGGTAGACCTCACCAGACCGCTTTTGCATGGTATCCTGGATGCAGCGCACAGGCACCACATCTTCGTCGTCATGCAGCAGTACCTGGACGACTTGGCCCTGCAGGTAGAGGGCGCGCGGCGGCAGGTCATTGACCAGATCAAGCACGTGGCAGCGCTGGTGCACGATGGATTCAAGCGGCTCGCGATCCCCATCTCTGTCAAGACGGCAGTGGTGGCCTCGGACAAGGACCTCCAGGCAGAAGTCGCCAGCATCCTGGACAGCCTGGGCACCCCCAACAAGCAACCAGGGGTAGTGCGCGACCTCGGCGTGGACACCAGCCTTGGAAAGCAGCTGCGGCGACCCACCCATGCCTCGCGCCAGGCCAAGGCCAAGCAGAGGGTGGCCAAGCTCAGGGACCTAGCGAAGACGGACGCCAGAGGCGCGGCAAAGGTCTATTCAGCAGGTGCCTACTGCCAGCAGTCTTGGGACTTACCAGCGCACGGCATCACGCCCACGGAGGCGAAGTTGGTCAGGGCAACGGAGGCAGCGCTCCTCACAGGCGGACACAAGGCAGGACGCTGCACGTCCACCATCCTCCTGATCCAGAGGGGTATGCAAGAGGCAGTAGCCCGAGCTATCGGCGACCAGATCAAGCAGTTCTGGCTCACCGTAGTCGACCACCCGACGGAGCTCAAGAGGTACCAGAGGGGCTGGCTCCTGCTCTACGCCAAGCTGGGCGCCCTGGAACCCAACCGCAGGTGGCAGCAGGTCAAGGGGCCTATGGCAGGGGTCATTGTGCAGTTGCTTGGGTTAGGCTGGATACCGCGACGCCTGGACAGCTGGATTAGCCCAGCAGGAGACGAGTGGGCCTACAAGCCAGATGTCATTCCCCACTTCGGCGCGCTCCTGCATGAAGTCCAGCAGAGCGCGCAGCAGCAGCTCTGGCAGCAGGCAGCTGGCCATCGCAGTGGAGAAGGACTTCAGGCTGGAGGCGACCTCTATCAGCTGCAGCGCCACCTGAGGAGGAGGAGGCGTAAAGGACAGCATGCAGAGGCAGCCATGCTGGAGACCATAGCGGTGGCGGGCATCTGGACCAGGGAGCGTCGCAGGGCGGCCAACGTCAACCAAGAAGGCGATGACGCCTGCGCGAGATGCGGCGAGGCGATAGAGACAGAGGAACACCGCTACTACGCATGCCCTGCCAACGCAGAGATAGGGCACAGCAACGACACCGACCTGGCGAAGAAGGCGAAGGACGCGCTGGACCAGCGGCAGGACCTGCATTTCTGGCTCCGAGGCATCCCGCCAGCGGCCTGGGCAGCCAAGGTCGACCCAGACGAGGACGCGGCGAAGGCGGCGCAGATCTTCTGCACCAGCGAAGAGGCTCAGGCGGCAGCCCAGTCAGGGCACAAGGTTCGAGCAGACTATGTGTTTACGGACGGCTCAGGTGGTGCAGGGGAAACGGCCAGGGACCCCCGCCTCAGACGCTGCGGCTGGGCAGTGGTGGCTTTCAGGTTCGACGAACAAGGACGTCCACGGGAAGTGGCTGCCTGGTACGGCACAATCAGGGCACCGCACACGGTGCCACGGGCAGAGCTCACCGCCATGAGCAAAGCCATCGGGTACACCACGGCGGCGACAGCCAGGGGGCTCAACATAGTCAGCGATTGCAAATACGCCCTGGACGCACTCAAGCAGATCCAGGACCCTGAGGATCTGGACTACAGGAGCACGAATTACGACCTCTGGCTCCAGACGAAGCAGCAGCTGCAGAACAGCACGGACACCATCATGGGCCACCACATCCCGAGCCACCTGATTGAGCACCCAGCCGAGCTGGAGAGGTGGAGTGGTCCCACCTGGTGGGTCATAGGAAACGAGATGGCAGACAAGTGCGCAGGCTGGGGGGCGGAGCACGGAGCACTGGACCCAGCCATCATCGCGCAGCAGCAGATCAGAGACCAGATCACCATGGCGGTGCAGAACCGGTTGCTGGCCATCAGCATGGCGGTGATGGTGGAGGACCCCATCAAGGCCCCTCAGCGTCCCAAGGCCAAGCGGCGAAAGCCGCAGACGGCGAGGGGCAGGGCAGCCCAGCAGGGACACGACCTGCGAAAGCTACATCCGCGATGGTGGTGTGCAACGTGTCGCAGTGGCCCAGCCAAAGGACAAAGCATCAGAGACTGGTTGGCAGAGACGGGAAAATGCCTCGGGAAGTACGGCGGCCACCAGGACCAGCACGGCAACGTCAGGCTCGACTTCAAGGCGGTGCAGATCGGTACGCAGGTGGTGCACGTCTCCCACAAGACGCAGTACACCCATGGCTGGCTCTGGTGCGAGAAATGTGGCGGCACCAGCTACCTTGGGGACCACAAGAGCAGGATCGTGGCAGGAGTGGCAAGGAAGCTGGCAAGGCAATGTCAGCCCCCAACAGCAGCAGGGCGGCGAGTTTTGGAGGGCATGCAGAGGGGCAAACTGCCAAGAGGAGCTAAGCCAGCAGCAGACCCAGCTGATGAGGGTCTCGAAGAGATCACCATGCCAGGAGTCTTCAAGCTCGGCCTGAGTAACCACGAGGCGATCGATCTGGACGGGGACAGCTCAGAGGCAGGGGACCCGCAGCCAGCTCCACAGCAGCCACCCAGCCATCCGCACTCTGTCGTCCACGCCAGCTGGGGGCTCGTCGACCACATGGAGGGCTACGCGGAACAGTGGATGAACATGGTCGACCAAGAGGTCTGGGACGATATGGACGACTGGATGGAGCACTGCGTACCGTACCTCCTGGCCATCACCAATGTGGGTGGCAGAACGGACACGCAAGAGCAGACCAGGGCCGTCACCGTGCAGGAGCTCCAGCAGATCAAGGACTTCTGCGAAGAAGTCTGGCGCAACACGCACCGCACGCGACGGAGGCTCATGACCAGGATGCTCACCCTCCCGTATGGTACAAGGCAGCAGGCAGCTAGAGTGCACATGGACGCCTTCCAGAATAGAAGGAACAACATCCTAGCGCACAGCATTCCCAGCAGCGAGCGCAGGCCGCTGCCGAGAACAGCGGAGGCCAGCCGAGAGTGGTCACCAGAGAACCTGGACGATGACGACTCGACCCCAGACAGTGAAGCCCCAGAGCTGGAGGGTGAGCCGAGCAGCCAGGAGATTGAGACCATGGCGGGACCTGATCAGAGGCACGACGCCAACAGCCTGATGCAGACGGCAGTGCAGGTGGCAGTAACGCTGACCAAGCCAGTGGGGCCCGACCTGCTGAAGTTCGTGAGCGAAGCCGACGAGGTCGGCCTGCTCCACCCAAGGCTTCGACACAACAAAGGAGAAGCTGACCAGGACCCCGAGCAGGAGGTGGCGTGGCTCGAGAGGAACAGGCTCGAGCAGCTCATGCAGTCGCTGGCAGGCTGTTGGAGCCAGAAAGAGGGCGAGCAGGGCTGGCCATCGTGGCAGGCCGCGTGCGTGCCCCATGTGCTGAGGGCGCTGCAGACTGGCGTCTATCAGAGGCTTTTCAGCAAAGAGTCAGGGGCGAGCCGCCAGCGCAGCCAGCGCCGAGCGGCGGAGGAGATCTGCCGCCTGGCATGGCTCAACAGCGGAGAGGCGCGCAGCCAGATCCAGCAGCAGGACCCGAAGGAGACAGAGCGGCGCAGAGCAACGGCTGAGCAGATCCTGGGCGTGACTGAACCAGAGGTGAGGAGCCGCAGCCCGCGACCGCAAGCAGCAGGGCGAGTGCCAGGCAGGGCTCCAGCCAGACAGCCGAGGAGGCCCCAGTGCGGAGAGGGGACAGGCCACCATGGACCCCTGCGCGGCGATGGGGCTAGGCCGAGGAGGACCCCAGCGTGGCGAGGGGTTAGGCCACAGCCCTGCGCCAGACGGGATGCAGAGGGGTGCCCGTCCCCCACCAGCAGGACGCAGCACCAAGGACATGGCAGACCTCGACCGCGTCCCTGAAGAGGAGAACAGCGAGGATTGCCCCCAGCAGGCCGTAGACAAGCAACGCAGCGATGACAACCACCAGCAGTTCCCAGATGTACAGCACAGCATAGGGCACCACCTGGCAGACCGCAGAGGACCCCAGCGTGGCGAGGGGTTAGGCCACGGAGGACCCCAGCGCGGTGAGGGCTTAGACCGCAGCACCAAAGGCAAGCAGAGGATCGAGGCGGAGGTCCCTGACGAGCCCAGTGAGCATGACGCGGACGTCTTGACCAACAGTGTGGTAGACAGGACCTCGCAACTAACAGGGCGGACCCATACCCTGGGAAACCGACAGACTGAACGCGAGGGGGAGGGCTTGGCCCGCGGATACCACGTGAACCGCGAACACAGCGAGTGGCATAGTCGGGGGACCTCGCCTGAGCCAGTGGGCAGCAGCACCGAGGATGGGGACAGTGCGAGACTCGGCGCTCCCCCGCGTGGCGAGGGGTTAGGCCACAAACCAGCGCAGCCTGAGAAGGCGGCAGACTACGACGACGCAGACCTGCAGCGGGTTTGGACAAGATCTACGGCGACCCTCCCCAGCGCGGTGAGGGGTTAGACCGCAAGGCACCCCTGCGTGGCGAGGGGTTAGGCCACGGCAATCCCCTGCGCGGTGAGGGGGTAGACCGCAGGACCAAAGGCAAGCAGAGGCTTGAGGCGGAAGCCTATGACATGCCCAGTGAGCACAACGCGGACCTTTTGACCAACTGTGTGGTAGACAGGACCTCGCAACTAACAGAGCGGACCCATACCCTGGGAAACCGACAGACTGAACGCGAGGGGGAGGGCACGGCCCGCGGATACCACGTGAACCGCGAAAACAGAGAGTGGCAAAGTCGGGGGACCTCGCCCGAGCCAGGGGGCAGCAGCACCGAGGATGGGCACAGTGCGAGACGCGGCGTACCCCCGCGCGGTGAGGGGTTAGACCGCAGCAGGCCCCAGCGTGGCGAGGGGTTTGGCCACGGAGTACCCCAGCGCGGTGAGGGGATAGACCGCAACGATCCCCAGCGTGGCGAGGGGTTAGGCCACGGAGGACCCCGTAGTGGTGATGGGTCAGACCGCAGCAGGCCCCTGCGCGGCGAGGGGCTAGGCCACATGGGACCCCAGCGCGGTGAGGGGTTAGACCGCAGAAGGCCCCTGCGTGGCGAGGGGTCAGGCCACGGAGCACCCCAGCGCGGTGAGGGGTTAGACCGCAGCAGCCCCCAGCGTGGCGAGGGGTTAGGCCACGAGTTTCCCCAGCGCGGTGAGGGGTTAGACCGCACCGACCCCCAGTGTGGCGAGGGATCAGGCTACGACGGACCCCAGCGCGGTGAGGGGTTAGACCGCAACAGGCCCCTGCGTGGCGAGGGGTTAGGCCACCACGGAGCACCCCGGCGCGGCGAGGGGCCAGACGCCAGCAGACCCCAGCGTGGCGAGGTGTTAGGCCACGGAGGACCCCTGCGCGGCGAGGGGTTAGGCCGCAACGCGCCCCAGCGCGGCGAGGGGTTAGGCCACAGCTCTGCGCCAGGCAAGGCGGTCGTGAAGGCCCATGAGTCCAGGGACCAGCAGCCAGGGCGGCCCCTGGAAGAGCGCAGAGCTGAGGAGCGGCTGCGGCCGTCCATCAGGCTGCTCCTCAAGCTCTGAGTGGGCGGCGGCAGCATTTCTTCAGACTGCCGCTGCTCACGGGGCGACTCCATGAGTCACAGAGTGGCGGCAGTACGACGCCGTGAGATGAGGCCGCTGGCCCACCCCGCCTCGGGCCGTTCTGCCTGCGCGGAGTGCCGAGACCAGGGGCGCCCACTCACGGGCGGGAGCACGCGGGTTTAAAACTCCTCCGCTCCTCCTCCTCCTCCTCCTCCTCCTCCTCCTCCTCCTCCTCCTCCTCCTCCTCCTCCTCCTCCTCCCCCTCCTCCTCCTCCTCCTCCTCCTCCTCCTCCTCCTCCTCCTCCTCCTCCTCCTCCTCCTCCTCCCCATTCAGGTGGTTCAGCGAGCGCGGGCCTTTGGGGATCGGCCCGCTTTCCGCGAACCCCCAGACGCCGCTGGCCCTGCCAAGGGCGGCGGTGCACCACCCCGACGCCCGGGCGGCGCCAGAGCCGCTCGCGATCGCCCGCGTGGCACCGCAGGCTGCGGAGGAAACGGGCTAGCGCGCGGGCCACCCTGCGCCAGGCCGCTGCGCGCCAGACGCTGGCTGGGCACCACGGCGAGCACGTCGAGGCGCAGCCCGTGGCCATGCCGCCGCCTGCTGCAGCTGGTGCCGCTGACGCTGCTGGCCGCAAGGTGCTCCTGGGGCCCAAGGAGCCCCTCTGGCGCTGCCCAGGATGCCGCCAGGAGGGGCTCTGGGCCAACAGAGTGGCGTGCTTCTGCGGGCGCGACGCCCCTGGCCCCGCGGTGCGCGAGGCCAGGCGGGCCCACCAGGAGGCCTTGGCCAAGCGCGGGTCGGCAGCGCCCAGGGCCCGCTCACAGCCCCGCCAGTTTGGCCCTCGGCAAGGGGGCGGCAGCGACGCGCCTCGGCCCCAGCGGCCCGAGGCGGGCGTGGCCAACATCACCGCGGCGCTGGAGAAGCTCACGGCAGGCGGAAGCAGCTGCGCCGCTGGCCTACGCGGCGGACGCGGCGCCCCTCATACAGGCGATGCTGCCCTTCCAGCCCCAGAGCCGCCAGTGGATCCAGCCATCCAGGAGCTCGAGGGCAAGATCGCCAGCCTGGAGCAGACCATCCCGACGCTGCGCAAAGGTGGCATCAACGTGGGGCAACTCGAGCAGGACCTGGCAAAGCTCAAGCAGCAGCGTGTGGCCGCGCGAGGGCCGCAGGCGGAGGTCAGCTCGCTGGGCGCCAAGCTTGACCACGCCAAGGCCAAGCGGGTGCAGCTGCAGAACGAGCTCACCGAGAAGCAGAAGGGCGCCGCCGAGGCAGAGAAGCTCGTCGAGGAGGCGAAGAAGGCAGTGGCCGACCAGGAGGCGGCGATTGCTCAGGCCACCGCGAACATCACAGAGCTGGAGGCCAGCCTCAACCAGGCCATGCTGCGGGCCATGCCGCTGGGCCAGCCAGGCCCACCACCCGAGGCCCAACGCGACGCCGAGCGTTTCTTGGCCATGGCACCTGAAGCAAAGAACCTGGGACCTGATGTATTGGCCATGGTCGCCAAGCTTCTCACCAAGCACCTCATGTGGACCGCTCCCCAGGGGAAGCCCCCAGACGGCTAGAAGGGTGATGGCGGTGAGAACATCCCGACGCCGATGGACGAGAGCCTTGGCGACACTGATTTTGAAGAAATCTGCAAAGCGTGCAAATCCGAGGACAGCAAGAGGGCTTTTGAGGACCTGTGCCAGCGCATGGGAATGCGCAAGCGGCAGCGGCTTTAGCACATGCAGAAACAGTAGCAACGTCGACGAGGGGACGGATGGCGGCTCGTGTGGGGACGAGCAGCGACATGTTCACCTCAGTTTTGCGACGGCAAATATCACATCTTGGGGCACAGGGCGCAGCATCCTCCCGCTCGTGTCCGACAGCATCCTTTTCGTGCAGGAGCACAAGCAGCCACAGGGGCGACTCTTGGAGGTCAAACGCACGCTGAAGCACGAAGGCTGGGCCATGGCTTGTGCTCCAGCCATCGTTAAGGTGAAGGACTTCCAGGGCGGCGTGGCCGCGCTGGCCAAGAGGTTCATCGACTTCTGGTACGACCCGCAGGACCAAGTCCAGTGGCCAGGCAGAGCGTGTGTTGGGTACGCTCGACTGCCAGGGATGGGCGTGGTGGCGCTGTACTCGGTCTACCTCGAGGTCAACGTGGGGCTCAAGGGCCAGCACCTCGACATCCTCTACAAGCTGCGCGAGCACCAGGCTCGCCGCGGCCTGCCATGGGTCATGGGAGGCGATATGAACATGGACCCCGCAGAGCTCGCCAGCTTTGCAGGCTTCCGTGCACCAGGCATCCAGGTGCACGCGCCGACGGACCCGACGTGCCACGGCAGCGGCGGGACCCACTACACCAGGGACTACTTCGTGACAGGAGGCCGCGCTGGCCTGGCCATGCAGGTGCCCGTCGCCAACACCTCGCTCGAGCTGCCCACCCACGACGTGGTCCACATGAGCGTCAGCAAGCGCGCCGAGTGGCCCACAGTGAGGATGCCGCTCAGCACCGCGCACATGCCCACCACGGTGCCTGTGGGACCCCGTCGGGAGCCGCCCGACTGGACGGCGACGCAGCACGTGCTCGATGAGACCTACCAGCAGTTCGTGGGTCACGACGGACAGCAGGCGCAGACGTTTGCCGACCGCCAGGCGCAGGTGGACAGGGCCCACGAGGTGTGGCTCGGCACGGCGCGCCAGGACTTCCAGGGCATCGTGGACCGCGACGCCAGGGCCATGCAGCTCTGGGGGGGCCCCATCCAGTTCAAAGAGGAAGCCCTGCCCGGGATCTGGACCACTAAGGCCAACGGCAAGACCACGCCAGGTCGTGCGCTCACGTGGCTATCTGGGCAGCTGCGCCAAGCTCGAGGCCTCTTGAACATCTATCTTGATCGCCAAGCTCACCCGGGTGGCTTTGACCAGCGAGGCTGCCCAGGCCGGCGCCTCAGAGGTGCCATCGCACGCTGCCGTGAAGGGATGCAGCGCTCAGGCAAGTTCGGCGCCGCGTACCACACCCTTGGCGATTGCGACGACTGGTGCCAGATCGTGCAGGTCGTCTTGGACCGAGTCGGCGATGTTATCAGCGGGGCCGTGGCGAACCCCGAGACCGTCGTCGACCTATCGGTGCTGCCCCTGCACGACAAGGTCCTGCAGGGGTGGGCAAGTATTGCACGAGCTTGTCAGCAGCAGGATGGAGACGGGCCGCCTGCTGCCATGGGGCTCCCACCAGGGCCCTTGCCGCCGACGCAGGTCGGCAGGTGGCACTCCCTGCGTGACGACATTCGGGTGTGGACCGCTTTCTGGATCGACAACCTGGCAGGCGAGCAGTACTTGAATAAGGATGACTCCGTAACTTGGTGTGAGGCCTCCTTGGAAGAGTTAATGCAGACAGTCAGGCGCTCCTCCATCCGAGAGTGGCTTCCCTCAACGCGCCCAGGGCGCACGCTCGCACAGATCCTGGCAGAGGTGTGCGAGGAGGCCTGGGAGTACACCACCCGCGACAGGCGCGAGTTCTTCCGCCAGATCAGCGCAGACTCGAAGCTCAACAATGACTAGAGGGCACGAGTGCACGTCAACATGAGCAGCAT